TGTGGGTGCCCGGACACTGGTTCACCAGTCCCTGTGCGACGGATTCGAAAGTGACCGACAAGGACGATGTGTGAGGTGAATGTGCGACTGCAATGAGGACTGGTTGAGACCCGGTCCACGTCGCTGGAGGTGGTGCTGCTGTTGGTGATAGTGGCAAGTGTGGGGGGGGGTGCCGGATGTCGTCTCGTCGGTAGGGAAGTGCTAGATGTCATGATTTTTACGAAGCTGATCGCTGTGGTCGACGCAGGGGTTGAGGCAGGCAGATGTCCGCGATTGATGGCAGTGGGGCAGCGAAAGTGTGATCATCAATGACGGGGTAGTCGTTGTCGCGGGGTCTGCGGCAGGGGCGAAAGAGGGCGGAGGATTTGACGGGTTCTTAGTGTATTTCGTCCGAAGGTGTCCCACGTGGCCGATTCGCGCGCGGGATGTGCTTTGGCATCGTGGACATGTTGGAAAAGGCTAACTATTGACATTGGGGGGGTCGAGGCACTTGTGACATACGAGCCTCCCTTTTAGCTTTGGTGGCAGCGATCCGAGTTACTTCGGTGCCGGTCTTAACCTCTCTTCGCATTTCAGGTGTGTTCTGGGCGAGATCATCCCAGGTCTCCGGGTTGATCTGCAGCCGTTTCATAGAGTTCTTTAAAGTGTCCTTGTAACGCCTTTTTGTTTTCATTGTTGAGGAGTACTGGTGTCGACATCACCATAGAAGAGTTGCTTCGATAGACTGTATCTTCTATCCTCTCGAGATGACCATTCCAATGTAGCTGCAGCTGCCTAAACATGGTGTGAATGCTGAAGATTCTGGTCCGCTTCAGGACTTCGGTGTAGGGAATCCTCCCTTGCCATTCGAGCTTAATATTCTACGAAGGCAACTGAGATGGGAGTGGTTGAGTTTCCTGGCATGACTGGGGTAAACGGCCCAGGTCTCCGTTCCATAGAGAAGTGTCGTCAGGACGGCGACTGCGCATTTTCAGTTTGGTGTTCATTTGAATGCCTTCGCGATTTCACACAGAGTTCTGAAGCTGACCAGATGCTTCGCGAATCTGAATATCCGGTGGTCCACTTCATCTCCGATTCTTGAGCTGCAGGAATGTGTGCCACCTAGGTAAGCAAAATTGTCCACAATTCTAAGTTGGTGGCCGTCGATAGAGACTCGAGGAGGAGTGTAGTTGTGCATGTTGGGTGACGCTTGGTGCATGACCACCGTTTTGTCCGTATTGATAGTCAGGCCGAAGTTGGCGCACCCCGCGATGAGGAGGTCCATGCTCTGTCGCATGCTCACTTCAGTCGTGGTGTGGAACTCGCGGTCGTCCTCGAGGAGCAGGTCGTGGACGGTGATCGTAGATAGTCGCGTGGGGCCCTGCATACGCCTGCTGTTGAGAAGAGGCCTGCCAGCTCTGTGGGAGATGCGTATCCCAGGGCGCTCATCACGGTAAGCGTCCACCAGCATGACAGAAAACATGAGGCCAAAGAGTGCGGGTGCGAGGACGTACCCCCGTTTCATTCCATTGGTCACCGCGAATGCCCCGGAGATTGTGCCGTCGTCCGTGAGTCGCGCCATCATCCCGTCGTGGTGCTGACGTATCATGTGCGTGAATCATTCAGGATAGCCGAATTTCTGCCTGATTTTCCATAGCTCCTCACGATCCACCATGTCGATGGCTTTCGTCAAGTCCAAGAATGTACTGTAGAGGTGGGTTCGCATCTCCTGGCACTTCTCCTATAGCTGGCGAACGGAAAACACTATGTCGGTGGCGCCCAGTGTCTTCGGAAGCCTCATTGGCTTTCCGGCAGAAATTCCTGCTCTAGGTGGCCCTTGAGACGATGGAGGGGGAAGCAAGCGAAGATTGTCCCGGCAGTGCTGAGTAACGAGATGCCTCTGTGATTGTCACAGAGTTTCTAGTTCCTTTTGCGCTGGTTGTGTCCTTAAAATCCTAAAGAACTTGTCCATAACGTCACATCTCCTGAGACAGCGACGTTAGTTGGTTTATCGATTGGTGGTCACCGTGCTCGTAGGTTTCAGCTGTGACCGCCTCGGAGCCTGGGGCCTTCCCGCTGAATAGTTGTTGCATGGCGCGAATGGTTTCTGTTAGCGAGGGTGGGAGATCCAGGTCGACATTGATTTCCACCTTGGGAAACCGATCGATGGCGGCGTCGGAGATTGTGGAGGGACGATTGAGGAAGCTTCCCAAGTGCTCAGCCCAGCGCTTCAGGACCTGGAGCCCCTTCGTCAAAAGCGTTAATCCATAGGAGCTGAGACGCGGCACAGTTCTTTTGGCTGGGGGTCGTAGATTGCCTTCATCGCAGGGAAGAAGTTCTTTGATTCGTTGCGGTCGGCATACACGGGGATCTCATCGGCCTTACGAGCCATCCAGGCGTCCTGTATTTGCTACCGTTGTTGTGCAAGGCGGCGACATTGGTAGAAGGCCGTTTTTTCGCGTCGGTTAGGTAGTCGAGGTTGGCTCTCTGCAACCCGTTCTTCTCGGCCAACAGATTACTGATGGCGGCGTCATTTTCGTCGAACTAGTCCTGGTGCTGGCAACGAGGGCAACGGAAGACGCCCGGGACGGTCGAATGGACGGTCCCCCGCAGTCGGCAACATCGGGTTTCCACGAAGGCGTTTTCATCTGCGACTGGCAGGTCTCCTAGCCGCTAAGTCAGTTGGTTTCTGAAGTGTAAACGGTGAGTAGGCATAAACAACAAGGCGATATTCAACTTACCCAGGGGTCGCTTAACTTGTGGCCTCCCGTGGGCTTGCAGACGGAGCCTCATCTTGGAGATGACGAAGCAGTGGTCCGTCCAGCCATCGGAGTCGCAGATCGCATCGGTCATCAGCACGCCCTGCCGATCGCTAGCCCGCACGAGAACGCAGTCCAGCGGCTGCCAGCGCAGCGATCGAGGGTGTATCCAGGTGACCTTGTTCCTCATTGGCCGGCGGAAGACGGTGTTGGTCATCAGGAAGCGGTGTTCTGCGCAGGGTCGCAGGAAAAGATGGACATTGTTGTTTCAACCGGCGATTCCGTGAAGACTCAGCAGTCACCTCTAGGCAGCGCGGTCTTTCCTGACGCGGACATTGAATTCGCCAAGGACAACCAGCTTGTCCGCCATCGGCACAATCAAAATGAGGGCATGCAGGTCTTCGTAGAATTTGTCCTTCGCCTCGTCTGTGCTGGTCATTATGGTGGGAGGGCGTAGGCGCTGATGGTGGTCGCGAAATCGGATTCCTGAAGAGGCAGGCGGGGGCTCATCAGGCGATCGGCGATCGAATGGCAAAGGCGACGCCCGCGTCCCGTCGTTCTGCACTGGGGCGACCGCCCCAGAAGAAGGTGTAGCTCACACCTATCTCCTCCAGTTCGCCTTGTTCGGAGAATCTGGCCTCGCTGAATACAGCGATGTCCACCGTGTAGCACGCCAGTTCCCGAGCCACTAGCGGCGTCCTTCGTTCCGGTCGGCTGCTTCTTGGGTTATCTAACAAGGGTACGAACATCCCAGGCTGTCAGAGTGAGCGGACCCATCCTACCAGTCTGACGAGTGGGGCGGCGGGAAGGAGAAGGGGAAAAAGAGAGAATTGTTTCGTGTTTGGTTGTTTCGACCGTGAGTTTTGCGTCTGCGGCCACGGCCAGCCTGCAGACGGTGTGCTTCCCCACCATCTGTTTAGGGCACCTTTTCTAGCCCCTTCCCCCTCGCGGGGATGAGCGGTTCTTTCCCTAAATAGGGCTACTCAGTTGTCTCAGACGGCTGCCGAACTCCACTATGGATCACGACTTTTGTTTGAGTGGGAGAACGACCCGAGGTAGCCTAGGCTTGCCTACGACAAAGCCGAAGTATTTGAGTGGGGGAGCGAGGATTGGGCAAGAGTAAATCCACAGGATGCAGGGCTTTCCCGACCCTCTCTAAGCTAACTGGTTGCTGAAATATTAACGGTGAGCCGAAAAATTCAACAGAACGTCATTTGGCTTACAATAAGGACAAACGCGAACAAGCAGACAAGTAGCAATCCAGCAGAGCAATGTTCGTTTACCTGGGGCCTCCTACGGTGTTGCAGACGGGGTCTCGTCTCGGAGATACCGAGGCGGTGGTCCATCCAGCCGGCAGAGCCGAGTTACCGTGTGCGGAGCATGCACACACGGATACCCCCACCTGGTTTAGCCCGCCGGTCGAGGCGGTTGCCGGGGTATAGCTACTGGGTAGAGTAAATTTCGTCGACAGGAGCATTCCCCACAAGTTTCGTTGTCGCCATCAGACAGCTACACCCGTACACTAGGCCAAGGGGGAGCCGAGCAGTAAACGTAAACTAGCTTGGCTCTTGAGCTTTGAGCTTTGAGTCACGGACTCACATCCTGTCGGTCAGGATCAGGAGCGTAGATTGTCGCAGTGGAGAGGCGTTTCACTAAACCCATTATAAAAAAAGAATAAACTTTTTTTCCGTTCTGCCTCGGGACCCCAGTCTGAAGCCCGAAATTTATCCCCCACAGGCGGTGATGTCCATCACTGTCCTGAAGAGGGAGCACCAGTGGATCCGCGTGAATTAATTTATAATGTGACTGACATTTACAGTATTTCTACGCCCATTGCTTTCCAATGGCAAAGCGGTGCCAAAACGACCGAAGGCGTGGGTGACTGGTGAAACCAAATAGGCCTTTTGCACGTGTGACACGAACCAGTTTCAGGAGAAGAAGCGGTTTCAGGTCCCACTCAGTTGGGTGTGTCATTGAGAAGAAACCATCGCTGTTCGACTCACAATCCTGAGTGGGATAGAGGTATTCCGTTAACTGACAGTCTAACTCACGACTTTTACTGCGGCATGCTTGTTTTAAGGGCTTCAGGCTTGTTATACCTATGAATGCATGGAGCTAATAACTGTCAGGACACTTTTATATTGATCCGTCTCTTCCCTCTCCCAAGCACAGAGTTTGTACGAGTCTGTTGGTCGGCTACGGATAAGACTTGGCGTGATCTCTGCCGCGGCATGAGTCTCCGTCCAGCGCATGCCACGAGCGTGTATTAAAATAGTTTGGAATTCACGCAATCTAGACCAATCCGGCTAGCGCATTCTATGAACGGGCCTCCTTATAGATCTAGCGTTGCATCGGGCGTACTGTTCGGAGGACAAAGTATAGAACCAACGCTCAAAACCACGTGACATTGCTAACTGACCAAGGCGAATATGCCTACGCCCCGACAATGAAGAGCAGTGACGAAGCTGGGGAGGAGTTCCAAGAACAACTTTCTGCCCTTCTTGCATCCGTGCCTAAGGTGGACAAGTTGATTCCCCTCGACGACTTCAACGCCAATGCAGACACAATGTACGTCACCGGGGAAGAAGTGTTTATTCGTTGTGGATCACAGCACTGCGATGGTTACAAAGCTCTTCTGAGGCTCTGCGCCCAACAGCAACCCTTAGTCAGTAGCAGTATCTTTGTGACTCAACTCACATAAAATCATGTTTGCACCATCCACCTCGTCAGTGGGAACCGCTGGACTATCTGTTTGCCATAAGGCGCATTCGCTGCCATGTGCTCCTTTCAAGAGCTAATCGTTGTGTCGGTCCGCTTGTAGCGAGACTGAGGCCAATATCTCAGCCAGAGAGACAACCTCTAGGAGGTAGAGCACCAATAGGACTGAACACCAACGTGAACCACCTCGCAAGCCCTGCAGGCTCAAAACGCTAAGCAAAATTGGCAGAAACAGCGGAGTGTTGTGCATACGACTGCCACTGATACCATCAGATCTCTCCTCAGAAACCACTAGAATTAATTCGACGACGACAGAATACGGTGGCTGAAATTTTAAAACCAACTCTACATGACCTGAATCAACAAGAACACAGCCGAAAAACTAAACCACATTCTCCCAATGTTATTAATTAGCCTGCAGGAAAGACTGAGGGTGATGCTAAAGAACTGGCTGGCTATTAATGCAGGTGAAATCCAATACACTGATCGGCCTGGAATGGGGGGAGGGGCATGTCAGCGGCTCCCGAAGCGGTTTACGGCGGTCCCTCCACCGGAAGCTCACTGCTCAGCCGATATAAACTTATTGACGCAGGAATCGCAGATTCCGAAGACTTGGTCGGACCACTAAGTGCGCCCTCAACGACCACTTTACAATCCTTAGGAATCCACAAACAGACCTCCACGAGTGGGGACAAATGCTGGTCTCGATCGTCCCTCATCATCAGTGTGATTTCAGAAGTCTGGAGACTGCAGGAAAAGTACCGAGAATTGGGGATCGATCCCTATATTAACTTTGTAAATTCCACTAGAACCTTAGATACCGCCAGCTCGGAGGGCTTCTGGAGAACGATGAGGAAATCTAGGCAGAGGGTGAGTCAGAAGTAACCTGGCAGTCAATGCAGGCTTACTCTCAAGGCTGCTAGCGCTTATTTAGACGATCGACTGGTCAACTGCATGATAGATGACCATTGTTGGCCGAAGTAGTCGGTGTAAACAAATCTTACTGTTGTCAATTTGACTGACTTGATTTTTAGAAATTTGCACTTTCTTGTCTCTATTTCAGACAGAAAGTAGTGCCCTAGGCACGGCAGGGGATAATAATCAACGACTAACAACTGGTGAACCTGTCTTCATTGCCGCTTTCCCAGAGAAAATTAGTAGAGTGATGAAGCAACCTTCAAGTTGAACGGCCAAGTCAGTCGATATAATTCTGTGTACTGGGCCACTGAAATTCCTCAGCTAGTTCTCGAGAAGGATGTCAACGCTATCGGTGTCACAGTTTGGATTGGAATTTGTGCTTCAGGTCTGATCGGGTCTTTCTGTTTTTAAAAAACTCTAAGAGGGGACAACTATGTGATAATACTCGCCGGGGAACACCACTGCCTAAGACATCAGCTCATGGGTCTGTACGGAATAAATCTCCCATTCTTGTTTTATTCATTTCCTGCAAATCGAGATTTGTCTTGGGGATTTCAGTGGTGGAGCTATGCTCTCTGTTTTAAGATTCGTAAGATTCTTACAAGCATAATACAAAGAAGTTATTTTGGGGGTAAAGAATCCCGATTAGTACGACTGTTTACACAATAGTATGGGAAGCAACTTTTTACTGTTAGCCAAGTATCTCCACCAGGGCATTCATATTAAAATTGTCCGTTACCAGTGCACAATGGAACTCGACATTCCAAGCCCGAAAACCAACCAAATTCACATTGAAATTTCGTCTGTGCAGAAAAGGGCTCTTCCGAAACGCGGTATGAAAAGAGGCAAAAAGGTTGAAACTCAGTGGCACTTTTCAGAAGACTTATTTCTATGCACAACAATTCACATGAACTCGAAGGCCGTTTAGACCCTTAATTTAGTCCTCATTAAGAACTATGGACATTTGGGTAATGATAACATCTCGATGTCATCTCACCGATCCTTACTGCTGTGCTTGAAGCTGGTCTTGGATAAACTGTGTGCAAAATGTGCAGACGGAGTACGGGATTGCACGCACTTATTTTTACCAGGTTAGGAAAGTGCCTGGATCAAATAGCGTAATTGAAAAGATACAATAATCAGTGGCGCCTGTTTCCGGACATTGCCTTGTCGGAAGTATGCATGTACTTGAACTAACTAATTCAAATAAAATTACCATCTTTCATATCTGGAAGAGACTGAAAAGGATAGTAGGATTAGTAGTGCTTTGGAGAGAGCATCTTTGGGCTAAGATTAAAAAATATATTCGCCTTACGCGCTATTGCTTCTCTAGGAACCAAGTAATTAATTTCCGGTTGAGAGAAATAATAACGTTCTCGAATTTTCAGGCCAACGCCCCAACAATATCGGTCAGAGGACGGTAGCGGAGCAGAATAAAACGATTTCAGTTAAATTGCAGTTATGGAAATATTTTTCCAATTACACTAATACCGCAGTTGCTCAATGGCTCGCCACCTTTTGCAGAAGTGGGGCAGTACCTTGAATTCTAAGGCAGAATAACAATGTAATCCAGGTTATTTCTATAGAACCAGCACTATTAGTGAGCAAAGTTCATCCATGTTAAAATAACCTTATGTTCTCTTTTTCAGACTGCTTTCTACAGAGTTACTTGGTGTGTAGAGCTTATTCTGCATCGAAAATCCGATATTTCTCAAACCCTTAAAGTGCAAACCTGGCAAACTTGCAAAGGTATTATTTCAAACGAATTGCTCGTGGTGAAGTGCTTTGCCGACTCGGAAGAAGGATTATCGAAAAAATGCCTTTAACATTTGCGTAAATCCCTATGGTACTTGACTCACATTCAAAGCTAGTATAAAACGGACAAGGGGAAGTGGTATAAATGCTATTCAAAAAATGGAATCGATAATTTTTATCAAACTGTAAAGACAGGAACACCAAGGATGTCCCTCCGACCGATTCACTGGTTTTTGCACAGCAGAAAAGGAACAAAGTTTGATAGGAAGTCAGTTAACGCCTCTTAGTAACTGGCCGACGCCATCTTTTTGCATACATGCGTATTCCTATGAAAAAATGACGCGAGGACGCCATCGGCATAAAGGGCCCGCTGCCTCCTAACATCTTCCATCTCCGGTTATTTCTCTCGCTGCACCTGCAGTCCAGTACTTTGTCCGCACATCATCCACGCGCATGTCAAGCCTGCGACCTTTACTAGGCGCAGCCCCCCCTTCTGACTGCGTTTTCGGACACGTTAGTCCCAGACAAGTGGCATTTAACCCGCAGGGCCAGTCGCCAATAGGTTTGGTGTTCCAGCCCCCAGGCCCGCCGATCACAAAGTGACTTACTAATTTTGATTCGACCCGCATTTTTAGGACTTCGGTCCCTGCCTTCCGTTTCCTTCTAGGGCGCTTATTTGCTTATGCGAGTGAATCAGTCACTACCAGCGGCAAACTCATAAACTGATGATCGTAGGGGCAGGATTCAAGGGCGCCAACGGTCTGACATGCGGAAGAGTCGTTAATTCTTGCCATATTTTTCTTGGTCGGCAACGAATACTTTCAGTTAGCGCTGAAAAGACCTTTCAAAGGCACGATGAAGGTATTTTAAATCGTAGTTTTAATGTTTCCGTGGGGAGGAGTGAATACCAGAGGCTTCATTTGCAATGGGCTTCAGCAACAGTTTTTACCAGAATTCACAGAAAATAACTCTGCTGAAATTTACCAGGCACAATACTTCGCACGAAATGTACACCAATATGGCACAGTTATTAAGACCTCTCGTGATTTCTGACCGCTTTAGTGTAGGACTACGTGAAGTTTGCCATCCTTTCAATAGTTTCCATTGTCTTGTGATGCGATATTATCGATTTCGGCTAAGTGCACGATGGGTACACCAACGAACTGCTTCAGTTAAGGAACGGTAAAGCATTGGTTTTGCGTTTTCCGTTTTTTACAATTTCCTCGTACTGCAGCTGTATGTTAGCATGTTATCTACGGGTTCTGCCTCGACAAGGTGGATTGAGCAGACATGCAGTGCACGGTAATGTCACACTATGTAAGAGGTAGGTTTGCATCGCAAAGTCGATAGTGTTTCTTTAAAGTACGTACAACATCGTCTGTCTCTCTCAGTGAGGGTCAGTGATTTTAGATTTTTGCGTTGAGTTATCGCCCACCTTATTCATGATGCCTACTTCTCCTGCTCCGAATGACTCAAATCACACCCCGAGTGAAATTATTTATCTACGCACACTCCAAAAGTCGCATCATGACCTGAGTGCATGCACTGTACGCGCAAGCACGCCCGTGTACATACATGCGTGAGGCAAATTTCCGTCCATTATCTGGGCTGTAAACGGTCCGGTTGATTGGGGGGGGGGGGCAGTTTTTCCATCACATGCATGCGTTCAGTCAGCCGTCAGTGTTTAGAAAACATCATCCTCCTCAAGCACCATTTGGATAGGCGGTACCAAGTGTCCGTATAAATTAAACTGTACTCTCGAACTGTAGTCTGCTTCAAACGCTCCTTGGTTTTTGGATCTGTCGTTATAAATACTGAATTCACGGTAGCCAAAATGTTCGCCACTACCGCTAAAGTGTTAGCCCGTGCATCGCAATACATGTAAGGCTCCGAGTCACACAGGACCTAGTTGAAGTTCAACGGAATGACCATCCTACACTTTAATATGGACGCAGGTCACCATCTCCAGTGGTATAAATGAGATATGGGAAGCACATCATAACATCTTGTATGTCGTCAGATGAAGATATACAAGATACCCGGGTCATAAAGGTTTACTGGATGGGCAAATGCTGCTAAATAGATGTGCTGTCGAAGTACGACAGTCGACAAATCAGAGGTTCTCCAATCAGAAGGCAGGGAAGACAGATTTGTAAGCCTTCACAGAGGCAGAAAGCGTACTAGCAGCACCGTAAACAGCTGGAACTAGCGTTCTCACTAGGCAAGTGCGTGGCTTTGAGGTTGTTGGACGCAGACACCCAACGTGTATACCTTTGAGCTGTGTCCATTTGCAGCTAGGGCGCAGCGCTG